ATGATTGCAAAGCAAATACTTATTTTGCATGGCATTAGAAGATGATGTGTTGTTTATTTAGGAATATTGAAAACAATAATTAAATCTTAATGATCTAATTCATATTTGGCTAATATGATAAACTCTAAGCTATGTTTTATAAAATGATTTAAGAATATATAATTAGAAAATATTCATAAGGCAAAGTACTTTTGATATATTGAGAAAGTATGATAAAATTCATATATTATGAAATATTCTAAGAGGATAATAAAATGATTTGTATTATAAAATAGAATGTATCACCATTAAAAACTAATAATTTTGAAAGATAAATATAATTTATTATATACACGATTTCAAAGGAAAATGATCGTACATATAGTAAAATTTATGAAAAGTGCAAAGTTTCCACTTATTCATAGAAATTTTGAATTGATTTTTTTTTTTTTTTTTGAAATTAACATCCCTGTTTATTTATTTTGATATTAATAAAAAATAAAAATAAAAAAACAGGAAACTAATTTTGTGAAAAAAGGTTAAAAATTTTTATTATTGAAAGGAAAAAAAAAGAAAGAAAAAATTTGAAAGAAAAAATAGTAGTCCGTCATTTGGTATAAAGTTTAAAAAAGATCTCAGGAAAAAATGTTTTATTTAACATTTTTATATTATTCCCAAAAGATTTTATTACATTCATAGTGTTTTTAATATGATTTTAATAAGCTTATTTTATGAAATTTCAACAAATATTTTTATGCAATTTCTGTAAATATTTTATCTAGTTTCAACCAATATTTTATCAAATTTCAATCACTATTTTATCTAATTTCAACAAATATTTTACCAAATTTCAACAAATTTTTTATCTAATTTAAGCAATTATTTTATAAAATTTTAACGAATACTTTATGAAATTTCAACAAGCATTTTATGCTATTTAAGCGAGTATTTTATCAAATTTCAGCAAGTATTATATGATGTTTCGACAAATATCTTATCAAATTCGAACAAACATTTCATCTAATTTCAACAAGAATTTTATAAAGTTACAACAAGCATTTTATATAATTTCGACCAATATTTATGAGATTTCAATCACTATTTCATCAAATTTCAACAAGTATTATATGAGATTTCATCAAGCATTTTATAAAATTTCAGCAAATTTTTTATCTAATTTCAACGATTGTTTCATAAAATTTAAACAAATAATTTATTTTGTTTCAACAAATATTTTATGCAATTTCAACAAGTATTTTATCAAATTTCATCAAGTATTATATGATGTTTCAACAAATATCTTATCAAATTCAGACAATCATTTCATCTAATTTCAACAAAAATTTTATAAAATTTCAGCAAATTTTTTTTATCTAATTTCAACCAATATTTTATCAGATTTTCAATCATTATTTTATCAAATTTCAACAAGTATTATATGAAATTTCATCCAATATTTTATAATGTTTCAACAAACATTTTATACAATTTCAACCAATTTTTTTTGATCAAATATCAATTTAATATTTAATAAAATTTCAGCTAAAATTTAATATGATTTCAAACAAACATTTAATGAAGTTTTTAACAAATGTTTTATGAAGTTTCAGCCAATATTTTATCAAGTTTCAACAAGTTTTTTTTATTATATTTCAACATATTATTTTATAAAGTTTCAACGAATATTTTATGCAATTTCAACATATTTTTTTTTAATCAAATTTCAACAAATGTTTTATCAAATTTCAGCGAATGTTTTATGAAATTTCAACAAACGTTTTTATCAAATTTCATAAAAAAAATATTTTATCAAGTCTCAACAAATATTTTATATGATTTCAATCAGCATTTTATCAAATTAAAGCAAATTTTTTTTATCAAATTTCAGCAAATATTTTATATGATTTCAACCATTATTTTATATGATTTCAACAAACGTTTAAATCAAATTTCAACAAATATTTTTATGCCATTTCAACAAATATTTTATATGATTTCAACAAACATTTAAATCAAATTAAAACAAGTATTTTATCTAGTCTCAACAAATATTTTATATGATTTCAACCATTTTTTTTTATCAAATTTCAGCAAATATTTTATACTATTTTAACAAATGTTTTATCAAATTTCAACAAATGTTTTATGCAATTTCATTAAGCGTTTTATGCAATTTCAACAAATGTTTTATGCAATTTCAACAAATATTTTATATGATTTCAACAAATATTTCATCAAATTTCAACAAATGGTTTATGCAATTTTAATCTGTTCTTTTTTATAATATTTCAAAAAAAAAAAATTTCATCAAATTTCAACAAATTTTTTTTTATCAAATTTCAACAAATTTTTTTTATGAAATTTCAACCAATATTTTATCAAATTTCCACACATGTTTCATAGAATTTTGACGTATTATTTATGAAATTTCAACCAATATTTTTATCAAGTTTCATTTTAGATTTTTATCAAGTTTCATTTGATGTTTTTATCAAATTTCATTTTGATATTTCATCTAATTTCATTTGATATTTTTATATAATTTCATTTTATATTTTTTATCAAATTACATTTTATATTTCTATCAAGTTTCATTTGATATTTCATCTAATTTCAATTCCTATTTTTTATCAAGTTTCATTTTATATTTTTATGAAGTTTCGTTTTCTATTTTTATCAAGTTTCATTTTATATTTTTATCAAATTTCATTTTATATTTTTATCAAGTTTCAACAAGCATTTTAAAATCACAACTTGAAGAGCTAAATGAAAAATATAAGAAAGAAATGGAGGAAAAAGAGGAAGAGTATAAAAAGCAAATCGAAGCACTAGAAGAAAAGCATAAAAAAGAGCTTGAAGAAGGAGGTAAAAATCAAACAGAAGAACTAGAAGAAAAGCATAAGAAAGAGCTCGAAGATAAAGAAGAAGAACACAAAAAGCAAACCGAAGAACTTGAAGAAAAGCATAAGAAAGAGCTCGAAGATAAAGAAGAAGAACACAAAAAGCAAACAGAAGAACTTGAAGAAAAACATAAGAAAGAGCTCGAAGAAAAACAAAAGCAAGTTAAAACATTAGAAGAAAAGCATAAAAGGGAGCTCAAAGAAAAAGAAGAAGAGCACAAAGAGCAACTCGAAGAAATGGACATTGAATATGACAGAAAGATAAAAGAAAAAGAAGATGAACATAAAGAACAACTGGCAGACATGGACCTAGAATATGAAAGACAACTAAATGAGAAAGATGATGAAATCCAAAGGTTAAAAGAAAAATACGAAAAATGATTTAAAGGCTTCGATTCTTTTTCAATCACAAAATAATTAATAAATTAATTATAAACTTAAATATACCAACTTTTTCTTCAAGAAAAGGATCACTTCCTTTTTTGTATTTGAAAAACTCCTCTTTACACTTGATGTTTAATATATTAATTTAAAATTGTTTTCAAAAAAAAAAAGATCGCATCTGCAGGGACTCGAACCCGGAATCTCCTCCTTAGAAGGGAGGCGCATTATCCATTATGCTACAGATGCTACTGTTAACTCAAAAAAATATATATAGATGTTGTATTATTTTTTGACAAAATGATTAGAATCGAAGATGTCAAAACAAAAATTTTGTGAACTCTTCCTGTTGCCTTATTAGATTGTCCATTTGATCTCTCATTTGGATGATGATTATTTGTTCTTCAATTCTATTCTGCTTTCCATTTAAATCTTCTTGCTTTGCTTTGGTATCGTTTTCAAGTTCTTCGATTCGTTGCTGCTTAGCATTGATGTCGTTTATCTTGTTATTGATATCTTCTTGCTTAGCATTGTTGTCTCTTTCTAATTCTTCAATTCTTTGCTTTTTCATGTTTATATCAATTTGTTTGTTGTTAATATCATCCTGCTTTGCATTGTTGTCTTTCTCGAGTTCTTCAATGTGCTGCTGTTTTGCATTGATATCGTTTTGCTTATCACCGTTTTCTCTTTCTAATTCAGTTATCCGCTCTTGATGCTTTGTATTCTCCTCTTTTTCTTTTGAAAGAGACTGTTCAAGCTCTTCTTTTTAGTAGAGAGTTCTTAAATCTGCTCCATCTGTTTCGCCTTGATGGCTTCATGCTCCATTGCTGTATCATTTAGTTGAATTTCTCGTGTTTGAACTGTTTTTTGCGTTATTTCGGGATTTTCATTAAGCAATGATACTTCTTCATTCTTTTTGACTGCTTCTTGAGCAAGTTCTTCTATCTGATGTTGCTTAGCATTAATGTCATTTTGCTTACCATTATTATCTTTCACAAGTTCTTCGATCTTTTGCTGTTTTGAGTTGATATCTTCTCGCTTGGAACTATTATCTTTCTCAAGCTCTTCGATGCGTTGCTGTTTAGCATTAATACAGTAGTGAATTTAATATGGTAACACTTTTTTTTTAGTAAAAAAATTTAAAAAATTTAAATTTCAATTTTTCTCGATATATATGATATTTATTTAAAAACAAAGTATATCAATATATTCAGCAATACACATATAATATGCAACACAAATGAAGTGACCGTTTAAATTAGTGAATTTTTTTTTTACCAAAAAAAAGTGTTACCATAAAAAATACCGTTACCATATTAAATTCACTACTATATTATTTTGCTTGTTGTTGATATCTTGTTGCTTTGCATTGTTGTCACTTTCAAGTTCTTCAATTCTACCTTGTTTAGCATTTAAATCATTCTGTTTGTTGTTGATATTTTCCTGTTTAGTAGCATTGTCTTTCTCAAGATCTTCAACAGGTTGAGTTTTAGCATTTGCAGAAGCAGAAATCCTGCTTTTGATGTCAGAATTGTCCTCAGTCACGTAGATACAAGAAGACATCAACAATGAACAAAATGATATCAATTCCAAGCAGCAAAGAATTGATGAATTAGAGAAAGACAACGAAGGCAAGCAAGAAGACATCAACAACAAGCATAACAACATCAATGCCAAACAGCAACGTTTTAATTTACTGAATCTTTCTTTCTTAAAAAAAAAAAAATATAATAATAAAAATGCTTCTGGCGCTGATCGAATGCGCGATCTTCCGCTTACTAGGAGAACGCTATAGCTGCTAAGCTAACTGAAGCTTTCATTCTCACATAGCCTTAATATTATAAAAAAAAAATAATATTAACATTTTATATTTTGACATAGTATAAAAAACTGATGAAAATTAAATTCTTTACCCATTAGCTGACGTTACTTCAAGATCTTTTGTTGCTATGATTTCAAAAAAATCCATTTTCGAAATTTGAAAAATTTTTTGGACATCTTTTTTGAATTGAACCAAAACTTGCAAATAAAAAGACAGAAAACGAGTTGAAATCAAAATTGAATGAACTCACCGCTGAAATTGAGAAGAAAGAAGAATTCATTCAAAAAGTTGAAAAATTAAAAGAAACTGCTTTCATCATTGATCAAGAAAACCAGAAACTAAAAAGTGCTTCCTCAATTGAATACGAACTTATCTCGATTAGAGACATACATAAAGAAATTTCATCATTATTTTACGAAGGTTTTGGAAATTTATGCTAGATAAACGTTTACAATTGGCTCCATTTAATAAAAGACTCCATTTATTACTTTAAATTTGAGCTAAATTAAAAAAAATACAACATAATAAACTTATGATTAAATTATATATATAAATATTTTGATTATTAATCATGATCCATAATCATTTAATAGACATAATCAATTTTATTCTTAAAAAGCTTATAATTTCATTTTCATAAATGCAAAGAATGAAAAACAATAATAATTCATTCTTTTTTTTTTTTTTTAAGAATAAAGACATTAAAAATTGATTCTTTGCATTTATGAAAAACAATCATTCTTTTTTATTTAATAAAGTATAGAAAAAAAAAATATCATATAAAATAGTTTCAATGTTTACTTTTTATAAAGTTCATAGATCATTAAGCATTGATTTGAACTTTTTCGGAATCGTCATATTTTCAATTTTGCATCCTTTAAAAGCATCTTCATCAATTGTTTTGATATGTGAATCTTCAGGAATTTCAACACTTTTTAGTTTCTTGCACCATGAAAAAGCAGATCTGCAAACATGCTCGACACCTGAAGGAATAGTGATGCTCTTAATTAATGTTTGCGAGAATGAGTAAGCACAAATTCTCTTTATAAACGACGGAATAGAAATATTTTCAATATCTCGACGAACAAAAAGAAGGCAATCATATTCGTCACTTTTTTGATCTGATTTTCCAACGAGCATCTTGTTGTCAATGCACATGAAATGATTGCTTTTCGGCATAACTGTGACACTTCTCAAATTTGGTGTCTTGCGGCACCATCCTTCTTTGAGGTCACACAAACTTGAAGGAAGCTCAATCCTTACAATTGAAGAATTCGCAAACGCATCTTTTTCAATTGATTGAATACTTGAGTCAGGTGAAAATCGGATAGATTTTATTTTTGTCGAATTTTTGAATGAATCTTTAAAAAAATTTTTTATAATGAATTCTTTTTTATCGTGCTCAATCGAACGTGGAATGAAAACATCACCTTTAGCTGAATCGTTTCCAATCACACAGGCAGTTTTGTCATCATTATCCAAGAGAAATATGACATTGTTCTTTTTCGCCTGTACAAGTTCTGTGACAACAACATCATCGTCATCGTCATCTTCGACATTTATTATAATTTTACTTTGGTTTTGTTCTGTTTCTTCTTCTTCTTCAGATTTCTCTTCTTCTTCTTCTTCTTCTTCATCGGCATCTTTTTCCGTTTGTGTTTCAGTAATTTTTATTTTTTCAGTCATTAAATTTTGAATTAAACCGTTCCAGTCAATTTTTGAATCAATTGAATGAAGCCATTTTATTCCTTTCTCAAATATGAGTGACCACATTTTGAAGCATTCTTTTTTGTATTTCGCCATATAGGCCAAACTTGACACTGTTCCAACAATGCTCTGAAAATTGTCAGAAATTTTTGTGTTTACACATAATTTATTAACTTTTTGAATGAACTCATTCAATTTTTCATTAATCAAAAAGTTAGGTACATTTTTCCAACAACCGTTAATTTCTTGTTCAGAAATAATTGAAATCAAATCTTTTGCTTTTGAAGGTAAAAATGTCCTCTTTGCATAAGAACTGAAATTGCGACCACCGCCTCTCAATCTTAGAACCAAATGAATAGTCGAACTATCACTAATGTAATACTCAAAGAGTGTCATCCGGTCCTCGAGCTGCCTTCCAGCGAAAACCAGCCTTTGTTGGTCAATTGGATATCCATGACTTTCTTGTATCAAGTGTTTAAGTTCGTAAATGTTGCTTGATGAACTAATGCGAAGATCAAAATGCTTTCCAGTTAAAGTTTTCACATAAACAGTAATCTGATCCAGTTTGTTCTTTATATGAGGATCATCTCGTAGCAATTTGGTCTTCTCTTTTTCTTTATGGCAAACTTTTTCTTGAACGCCAAACAGACCTGTGTAGGGTGTCAGAATTCGGTAAGTGATTGACAATTGAATTATTTTTGACACAATTTCGTCGGTTGGCTCAAGTTCTCTCAGAATTCTAATGTTCTCATTATTGAAGAGATATTCTAGACTTCTCTTCACATTCGATGACTCAGGTAACTTTTTCAATTCAAGGACGGTTGACTCAGAATTTCCCTCAATTTCAATACAGACGTTTAAATTTTCATCGAATTCATTTGGAGCTTTGAAATAGAAAGTTGCCGGGATTCCGGGTGACAATTGACAATTTGACAGAGGAGGCAAAATCTCAACAGACTCATTATTTTCAATTGATATGTCAATTTTACATAAACCATTCAAACTTTGAGCTAATTGGTTGATCACTTTTGATCGCATGTCATCGCCAGAAAGAACGAAATCAACGAAGCCATTTCCATACCTGCTGATGCCTTTGACAAGTTTCTGATCAACACCATAGCCAATGCCAATTGAGCTGCACATCGTGGTGATTGAATTGGAACGAACAAGATTGAGAACTTCCTTCCTATCATAGACACAACCGTCCGTTAAAACAAAAACTCGTCTTAATTTATCTTTTTGTGAAAGTGGAGCCTTAAAAACATAAGAAAGAGGATTTGACAAAACAGTTCCTCCTAAATCTGCTTTTAATGTATTTGCCAAATTCAATGCTTTATTTGAATTTGAATCGTTATATGGAAGGGGACTCTGAAAAAGTGGAATAAAACTTGTACCAAAACGAATGACATTGAAATAGCTGTTCTCGGGCAGTGATTTGATGAAAAAGGTCAGACATTGCCTTGCTAGTTTGATCTCTCCACCTGACATCGAGTCTGAACAATCAACAATGAAAATGAACTCTTCACCTGAATGATCATAATTCTGAACTTCTTTGGTCGGTATGAAAGTGAACGATCCATAATTCTCACAGCACATGGCAACTCCAGTTACAATGGAATTTTGCAGTTGTTTTGAAAAAGTGGCATTTTGCGTATTAAATGAAATTGATAGATTTGTTAATGTGGGATCTAAATGGTCAATCGTATAGGTACGTGTCAAAAAATCAATATTTCCATCTGGATTAGAAGTAATAAATGTCCCAGGCAGGTGATAATATGAGAAATTTAATGAAAAATAGAAATCTGAACATTTGAGAAGTTTATCATTATTCAAACCAGGTAATGTGAGTGGGAAAAAAATACCAATAGTATCATGAGATATAAATGTAACTGGTAATTCAAAATTAACTGATATTGTAACCATTTGATTTCGTAATATATTTGGAATCGCAATTGTAGCATAAGAATCATCACCTATTCCAAAAACTGCTTTTTCTCCTTCTTTTATTTTTTCTCTAAAATTTTTTTGGGCTTCTTTGATTTCAATTATCTGAAGCAAAAAAGGATTTTCATCAACTTTAACTTGAAAATCATGAAGACAAATTCTACTATTAGTATTTTTTCCAATCAAGATTGTGAAATCATCAAGAGAACAATAATCATTTAAAAAAATCATTTCAATCCTACCTGCAAAAAAATTTCCTGCAATTTCTCCTTCAATATTTACTTTCTTTGGATCAATAATCTTTTCTGCAAAATTACTTTTAGTTGAGAATAAAGACATACAAAATAACTTTATTTATTTTACAATTAGTTGTAAACTTCAGAAAAAAAAATTAGATCATTGAAAAATAATATTGGACAATCGTTTTTTTCTACGCCACTTTTTGAATGGTTTTTCTATCCATGAATAGCTATTCATGGAAAGTAAAAAACCGCCATCTTAAGGTGAAATTTAACTTACTCTGTTAAGAAAATTAACCAAAAAAATCGCAAATTTAAATTTTCTCTTAAAATTATAACTATTTACTTTTTTTGATATAATTTTTTTTTATTTTTACATAATTTTTCAGGAATATACGCACCAGTGATCACCACAGGGCTGCGCGAAGCCGAATCAGGCTCCTTGAATTGCTGGATGAATCGGGAAGCCATTTGAACTAAATATTTATTCATTATTTAGCAAAAATTGAATAAAAAATGTATAATAAAGTATTCAAAAAGTTTAAAAGTTTTCAAAAAGTGGCGTAGAAAAATACGATTCCCCAAATAATATTTTTATTTAATTCACATCATTTAGCGGATATTGATTGAAGTTAGGACATCACTAATAATGGTAAAAATATGTTGGCATATTTTAATGGGTAATTAAAAATTAAATCTTTGATTGCCTCAATAATTCCAATTATATTCAGTAATATTTGTATTGTCTAACTCGGTTTATTATGAAGGATCTAAGATTTCTGACTCTTTCTGGCTTGTCGAAAAAAATGATATATAATTTTTCTTTTTCTTCCATATCACTAGGATTAGATTTTGTATATTGTATCTTTATTTCCTAAAAAAAAATTCTAGGGCTTAAATGGGAAATGCCAATTCAATTTCATATAACTATTCAATTTTCATTCAAATTTTGTTATGTGCTAATGGAACTTTTTTATGCTGGTAAAACAAACAGTGATTTACTCAAGCTTTAATATCAAGGGATATCATTTATTGTAAATTCTAAATTATTGTTGGAAAAAAAAAAAAAAAAAAAAAAATTAAATATTATGCTTGTGAATGT